AGTGCCTACCCCGGCTCTCTAAAAGATTAAAACAAAAATTAGACTACGAACCCTAAAAAATAGTTTTTTATGCTAACTTCAGGGGCATTTAATAAGTTAAAATTATTAAATGAAGTTATTGTCGTTTTTATTCGCAAAAATGAAGAAAAAAACAGTTTTTTAACGAATTTTACAGGATAATCGAAGTAATAGATAGTTTTAACTGTAATTACTTGTAATTACTGCACGAAAGTTGGAAAATTCACACTACAAAGTTGTTAAAGAATGATTAATTCTTGTTTCGCGCGCATCGATCTTGAAAATGTGAAGTTTAGAAATGAAAACAGAGGTCTACGAATTCACATTATTATAGAATTGTAGTAGTGGAATTAGTTCATAGAATCAGGGGTGTTTCTATAGTTACTCAATTTACTCAGAACATTATATATTTACTAAAAAAAAATTAATTTTCCTGACAAAATTCTTTTTACAGGAAAATATATGAAAATTTACTGAAAATGAATAGAATTTACGAATTTTAATAATATCTAAAAATTACAACTGTATAACCCTTTCTGAATTCAATTATTTTCTACAATTTTTCAACTAAACCTTGATCTCTACAACGATTATTTTAAATGATTTTCCGAAAATTCTTTTGAAATTCGATTATTTAAATACAAAAATTCAATTTTTTTATAATAATTGAAACTGTAAATTAGCTGTCCTTCTTTTTTTGTTAGAATATTAATGGAATCATATTTTCAAAAAATTATAATAAAGAAATTCTTACAATTAATTTCTTAAAAATACATTTAAATAATTTTTGAAGGATAAAAGTTTTCTTTAATTATATATAATTGAAAAATTTGCAAACAATTGAAATTTGGTAACATCTTTTAAAAATAATTGAATTTTTAAAAAATATACATAAAAATAAATCAAACTTTTGAAGAATTTTAATTATAAATATATTAGTTTTTAAAAATATTTTAATGTAATTTTTCGGATATAATTGAATTTCTTAAAAGAATTTTTGTATAATTGAAATAAATAATTTACTAATTAATTTTTTGATGAATTTTCATTTTTAATTAGAAATTTTGAACATAATTTTTTTCTCCAAAATGTTAAAAATAAGTCTAAAATGTTACTTTTTGGAAAGAATTTAAATTTTTCAGAAATATATAATTGAAAATACTGAAAATATTAAATTTTAAGAAATTAGAAGCTAATTTACATTAATTTTCATTTTTAAATATACATTTAAAGTTTTTTCATATTAACATTTTTAAAAATTTAATTATTTTCAAAATTTTTAATTAAAACTCTTTAAAAAGTTGATTTTCAAAAATTATAACATAATACTTGACAAAAATGAATTATTTTTAATTAAATTTTACAAAATTTCAATTATTTAAAAAGATTTTTATTTTCAAAATTTTAAATTAAAACTTTTCAAAAGTTGATTTTTGAAAATTGTAACAAAATTCTTGACAAAAATTAATTATTTTCATAAAAGATTGGACAGTGGAACATTTTTTTTATGAATAAATATTTAATAATTTTATTTTATGAAACGTTCATTTCCAACTTATATATAACTTCGGTGATTTTTAAAGGAACTTCGAAAGTCAATTTCGAAATAAAAAAAAAACATGAAAAAAGCAATAAAAATCATAGTCGTTATTTGCATGCAGAAAGCTTGAATGTACTTTTTCTATTATAGAAACAATGTTCTATGCAAAAATTTACAAGCTTTCTTTCTACAAAATTGTGAGCTTTGAATAACATTAAAATTAGATCGTTAAAAAGAAAAATTCCTATAGGCATATTAAAAAAAAAAATGGCTTATAGCCCCACGAGTTATATTTCTTATAAATATAGTCCGAACGTCAAGTTTCATTGACCCGAGAACTATTTTTAATCACCAATATTGAACTAGAATTGTACTATTTTTATTTTTTTCCCTTCTTTCTAAAATTTGGTCCTTGACTTTAATTAAGACAAAAAAAATCAAAAATCGTTTTTTGTATTTTTTTTCTACTTTTTTAATAATGAAAAATAAGGAAAAGAATAAATAGTGTTTCCTGAATAAAATAAATAGAAAAGGGAAAGTGATTGGATTTATGATTTTTGTATAGGCGTTTTGTCACATAATTTTCAATTATATTTTGCGCAATGTCCCTTTAAGGGAATAAGCCCACGTGAATGAAACAACTTTTGCTTTGACCTTCGAGATGCATTCCATGTCAAGGATGTCGAAATCGAAAGATTTCTGATGTTTCCGCGAGATCACCCACTGCATTGACGTCAAAAGCATTTTCATTCACTACTTTTTATTCTTTTCCTTACACAAAAATACTTTACTTTCTACCCGGAAAAAATATCCTCTTCCTTTTGTATAATCACTTTAAAGCTAATTTATTGCACGAATTTCTTTTATTTTCCTCTAATTATTAAACAAAAAGTAAATAAAAATATTTATTCCCTCATTTTTAAGTTATTATTATTTTATTAAGTTATTTATTATTTTTTGTCCGTCGTAGAAATTATTATTTAAATTATAATAATTATAGTTTATTATTTCACTGAAAATTTTTTGTCTAAATTAATTATTATTTATTATAATTATTAATTTATTATTTTAATAATTGACCATTTTCTTGCTTAAAAAAAATATTCCGCCTTTTATTATATTTTAGATATAAATAAAAACGAAAAGTTTGCTGAATAAAAAATTAGGTCAATAATAACAACTTAATTTATAAAAGTTGAATAATTTATCATTGTGATTCGAAGTATTCTATTAATAAAGAAAAAAAAATGTCATTATCCCTGGAAAACTTTCTTTCCGGAGTTTAAATATTTGATGAAATTTATAAATTTACGAATTTTATTTATAAAATCCCCTCGAATAATATGTACAATATTCTATATAATTGCCAGTGAATTTGATTATTGATTTGATGACAAATGAAAAAAAATAATTAAAAACACAAAAAGTAGTAATAATTTTTTCCAAACTGAAAGTAAGAGAAAAATTTCCACGCAAAAAAGGAATTCTTTCCTTTAATTGAAAATTTAAAAAATCGTAAATGCGGCAAATAGAAAAATAAAAATAAGAAAATAATTATTTCCCAAAACAGAAAGAAAGAGAGAAAAAGAGAGAAATGAGTAAAAATAATATAAGTTTTGTCCAAACTAAAAGATAGAGAAAGAGGAAGAAAAAGAAAGAAAGAGAGAGAAAATTATAAACAATAAATTTCATCTCATCAGGTAAAATCAAACAGGTGATCCAGTGGCTCAGTTTTCAATGACTGAGTACAAAAACGATTCTTCCAGTCGACCTGTCACGAGAAGTAAACACTTTGCCATACTTAATAGTTTACACAATAATGTTTCTTATTTGAGAGACCTCATAATAAAAATCAAGTTCCAGAAGTGAAAATATCTCTTTTTTCTCAAATAGATAAAATTTCTCCTAATATAAATATGACTCTACTCTAAAAAATAGTTTATCCACCTCATGTAATTCAAAACTTAACCTAAAAAATAATACCACAATTATTACCATTATTCCCATTATTATATATTAATTGCGAATTAATAATTTTTTCTAAAAAAGTAAAAAAAATTAACTGCCTTCGTAAAATAATTCCAAAGCAAGAACGAATCCTTTTTTCATTCGAGAACTAAGATTTAATCTGTCAAGTCAATTTAATTTTGTTAAAAGTTTAATTTAATTTTCTTAATAAATTAATTTAAAATTCATTTTTTCTCGACAAAAAATAAATTGAATTCAGTTTAAGTACCACGAAGTCCAGTTGTGTTTTCTTTTGTCCACATGCAAATAATATTTTTAGCCATAGTGAAAAAGAGGCATTTTTTCAAACAAGATTTATAGCCAATGTCGAACGAATATGGTCCATCAAAAAGAATTATTTATAAACTCCGAACGTATTTCATCTTTTATCTTTTCAACTCCCGCATATGCACTCAAGTTTGCAAAAACATTTTTTGAATTACTTTTCGAAGAAAAAAGTGTAAAAAAATATTGTACAAGAAATAGAAATATTCAAAAATAACCTACAATTACTGTTAAATAATAAAATTAAAATTAAATTAAAATTAAACTCGAGTTTAAAATATTACTGCACTTCGAATATTATATAGGAATATTCCTTTTTTTAACATAACCTTTTTAACATTGCAAACGTTAGAACAGGAACTAATTTAAAGGATATTTCCCGAATTACAAGAAAGGTAAATAATAATAATAATGGATAAATAATGATACTGTAAATTACTTTCAAAATAACTCGTTCTTGATACAAAATAATTGTCTTTCTATCAAATTCGTTCTTTAAAAGGAAAACAATAACCCCTGTATGAAATTAACCTTCAAAATTACTATTAAATACCTGCGACATTTTCCGGAATTGACTCGAAAATTTCCAATTTTCGTTTCTACTGCGATGATATATGCGTGAAAAACAAATATGACCTTCACATCCTACAAAACTGGACATTTGAATAAAAAATACACTCCATTTTCACGCATCGAAAAAAACCCACCCCGAAAAACACGGAAAAATTACTTTAATTATCGAAAAAAAAATAAATTCCAATCAGCTGATTCTCGATTCAGTTCATTTCCTTTTCTGTTTTTCTATCTCCCCTTTCTCCTAATCTCTAATCCAAAAAAATACCTACGAAAAACTATAAAATTTCCCCAATTTCCCAAAAAACCATTTCCTAACCTCAAAAATAAGACGATGGGAATTTTGCGAAATATAGAAGTAAAAATGAGAAAAAATCCCATCGATTATTATAGGAGTTAAAAAAAGGAAAAACAAGATAAAAAATGAATTTTGACAAGTAAGTGGCAGACGACGTGAACGTCTCTCCCGCGTGTAGAGAAGGTAGAGAATATAATCTCCACCCGAAAAGAAAGTTGTCGAGGCGCGAAAATAGTGAACTTAAATTAATTGAATAATCATTTTTTTCATGTGACTTACCAAGAAAAAGGAAAGTATCGACACTAATTGTTGATTCCGTTTAGTTAGTAAACGATGGCTGATTGCGGCATTCCACACACAGGGGAATTCAATTCACTTTATTCACTTGGAAATATTCGGACACAATGTGTGTGGAGAGCCATACCGCCTGGACGGGGCGAGTAGTTGAACTGACGTCCTCTATCAGTCGGTAAACGAACTAATTTCTCTATATACAGTACAGCCAACAACAAAAATAACTCCCGCTCCGTCTATATTATAAATGAAAAAGAGAGTCACGCAACTATCACCGGCAAAAATTTTCTTATCTATTCCCAAAGTGTTTATAAACCTTCGCGTGTCGGCCCCCTCACTCCACCCGTCGCAACAAGTTCATTGAACCGGTAAGTCTGCTTTTTTTCTATTATAAAAACAACTACCGGAAAATGTGAAAATTCTGGGGAGAAATTCAGAATATTTCTCTCTCTCTCTGTCTTGTTATTTGAATATGTATATGGGGTTTTCATGGGGACTGTATAGGGATTGTATCACAAATGAGTGTTGGGTCAATAACAATAACACCGGTGAAAAACTCTGCGGGACTGAGGGATAATTACCATAAACAGGTGAGAAAGAAAATGAAAGTTTATTTATATTTGATATTTAAATCTTTTGTTCCATTATTTCATTGTTATGAATTTTGAGGTTATTTTCCTTCTTCGTAAAGACTTGTTTACTTTCTTGCACGTTTCAGATAATTTTGTTTTTTGTTATTTTTAATCCTATTTTTTTATATGTGACAATTGTTAATTCGTTAATTAATAGATAATTGCCGTAAAAACTAATTTGAGGTTTTAAACACTTGCGAATTAGAAAAAGGAAAAATATTAATTGGCGGGAAAATTGTCACTGACAAATTTTTTCTAGAATAAAAAGATGTTCATATTTATTTATAAAATACGACTTTTTTCGACCAATTTTACCAAAATGCGACTTTTTCGTCTTTTTTCCGACTATTTTCCAAAAAATGCGACTTTTTCGATTTCTAAGACTGTTTTTGAAAAATACGACTTTTTTCGACTAATTTCACTAAAATGCGACTATTTCGCCTATTTCCGACTTTTTTTTTAAAAAATGCGAAATTTTTTCGATTTTTTAAGACTATTTTCCAAAAATACGACTTTTTTCAATTAATTTTACTAAAATGAGACTTTTTCCAACTGTTTTCAAAATAAATGCGATTTTTTAGAATTAATTTTACTAAAATGCAACTTTTTCGTCTTTTTTTCTTGACTTTTTTCGATTATATTAAAAAAATGTTACTTTATTCGACTATAATTTAACTTGAATTCGACTTTTTACAAGTATTTTCAAAATAAATGCAACTTTTTTCAACTAATTATAAAAAATGCGACTTTTTCGGCTTTTTTCGTCTTTTTTATTCTATTTCCGACTCTTTTCCAAAAAATGCAACTTTTTCGACTTTTCTTCAATTTTTTGAAAACTATTTTCAAAAAATACTAAATTTTACAACTAATTTTACTAAAATGCGACTTTTTTTACTATTTTAAAACAAATACGATTTTTTTCGACTAATTTAAAAGAAAAAATTTAGAAAAGAGAAAAATAATCAAAATTACATATTCATTTAGTAAGGAATTAATTTTTTTAAAATAGAAAATGATTTTTTGTTATAAAAAGATAAGAACTAAAAGATTAAATTTTTAAAAGAAATTAAATAATAATTAAATTAATTAAATTAATTAAAGTAGTTAAAATAAAAAATAAATCTTAATTATAATTCAATTATTAATTATATTAATTACCAGAAATATTAATTATGTTCTATTATTATTAATTATTAATTATTAATAATATTGTAAATATTTGCTTCATTTATTATTGATCGAAACAAAAGCGTCAACAGTGCAGTGTTTTTTTATATATTTGTAGTAAATTATAAAATTGTGAATTATAATTACAAAAATTAACAAATTCTAAAGTGTATAATGAAGGAAAGAAAAAGAAATAATTAAACTATGGTGTTTAATTCTAAAGTGTGTTTTAAAAAAATATTGATAACGTATATTATATACACAATAATTGACATAAAAGTGCGTCTGTTATCATTTGATCCTCTTTGCATACCTATCTTCTAATTCGTGAAGTTTATTGCCTAATTCTGTCGTTGAATACGTCTGTAAAAAAAATAATTCTTTTATAACTACATTAGAGAATTAAATTTTATTCAAAAAATTATTTTCTTTTAAGGGAAATAGAAAATTTTCTCCTTACAATAAATTATTTTCCTTAAAGTAAATTATTTTTGCTTAAAACGAATTATTTTAGTAATTAATTTTTCTTAGAATAAATTGTGTTAGTAATTTATTTACCTTAAAATAAATGATTTTAGTTATTTATTTTCCTTAAAATAAATTATTTTAGTAATTTATTTTGCTTAAAAATAAATTATTTTAGTAATTTATTTTGCTTAAACTAAATTATTTTTCTTAAAGTTGTTTTCTTTGCATTCTAAAAATAGTAAATTTTACAAAATTGAAAATTATAACGTACCCTCTTTCTTACTGGTTTAAATATCCTTTTGAGACTTTCATTCTGCTCCTCTGTCTGAAATTAAAAAAAATTTCATGAGACAAATTTAATAAATGAAGAAAATAGTTCACGAATTATTCACTTTTAAAAGGTTCAAATGAACGAAATAATTTTTATTAAAACTATTTTTTTATAAATTATTGATTGCAATATTCAAATGAACGAAATATATTTTTATTAGAACTATTTTTTGTTATAAATTATATTGATTGCAATAAAAATTGAAAACCAAAAAAAAATGTAACACCTGGAAACTTTATAATTATTCTTTTTTATAATTTTGTTTTGAAAACATTTGGAAATACAAATTTTTTAAAACTTTCTTTTGAAACTATTTGGAAATACAAATTTTTTTATAACTTTCTTTTGAAAAAATTTAGAAATAAAAATTATTTACAACTTTGTTTTGAAAACAAATTTGGAAGTAAAAATTTTCTTTTCTTTGATAATTTTGTTGTGAAAATAAATGGAAGTAAAAATTTTCTTTCTTTTGATAAAAATTTGTTGTGAAAATATATTTGCAAGTAAAATTTTTCTTTTTTTTCGACAACTTTTTGTTGTGAAAATATTTGGAGATTAATTATTTATTTGTATGAAATTACCCAAAAGTCTTTGTACTCGGGAGAGAGGCTTTCCAAATGAAAGACACGATCCTCAATGCTCTTTATTCTTTCGTAAATGTCTCGAGGAACTGGCTTATTGATTCCCAAAAGTTTTTCGGTGCTAGACAACCGTTCTTCCAAGGCAGGGGGATAATTATTACATGTCTCATCTGACGTTTTTCTTTCTTCCCAATTCGAAGGGTCTGAAGTCTGTGGCCCCCATGGATTGAAGACCCTGTGAACTGAATAATATTCGCGCGATTATTCCGAGACGAACTCACTTTCAAACACATTTTTTCAATATCGACAAAAAAAAACCAAAAAAAAAACTTAAAACCAAAAAAACTCTATTCTAATTATTAATTATATATTTCATTAATGTAATTAATTAAATTAATTATATATTTCATTAATGTAATTAATTTAATTTATTAGATGGAACTTATCGATCTTTCCGAGGTTAATTTTATAATTTAATAATTGAATTGAAAATTGATTGAATTAATTAATTAATTTAATAATTAATCGACTTTCTAAGCACCTTTCACATGACTTTTAGAATCCTTATTCTTGACAAGAACGGCATTCACTCGGGCACAGGAAAACTCGTCGTCTTCCTGACTCTCGTTTCTGAAAATTGACAAAAATGTCAAATACTATGAAAAAAAAAAATATTTTTTAATTAATTAAGCTTCAAGTTTATTAATTTCTCATTTAATTTTAATTTTTCTCTCCAAAGAAAAACTTACCCATGAACACAAAACTCCTGGATATTCAAAAGATTCACGTGCTCGCGCTTTCGTGAAATAAAAGCTTGAATTCTTCTATTCAATTCCTCGGTATCAGCTCGAACTTGAACAACATTTGGATCAATGAAAATCGTCTGATTTCCAGTTATTGATTCTTTGGCACTTTCGTTGAAAGGTTTACTTTTTATTTTTCCCACAGGGAAATTATTGTCTCCACTTTTTCCCGAACCATCTGTTAAAATCAGAAAATATTTGCATTAAGTTCCAAAATGCTTCATTTAATTTCATTAACAGAAAAAAATTAAAAGTAAAAATATTTATAAATAAAAATTAAAAAATATTTTCAATAAGTTCCAAAAAGTTTCATTAATTCCTGAATTTTTGACGAAACAGTTTAATTTATTTTCAATTCTTCATTAATTCCATTAAAAATAGAAAAGATTTTTGCTTTGAATATTTTTTTTTGTAAACTTATTTCGAAAAGTAGAAAGGAAAAGAAAATAAACATAAGAAGAAGTAGAAAAGTTTTATTAATTTGAAAAAAATAGTAAATTAAACGTAGAGTCAGAAAATCATTGAAAATAGTAATTTTTTTCTCTGTAAATTAGAGAAGAACGAAAATAGTTATTTTGTAAGTAAATTAATGAAAATAAATCTAACTTTGGTTAAAAAACAAAAAATAAAAACTGCCTAAAGAATTTATTATAAATTTTGCCAAGAAATTAATTAATTGAATTTAAAAAATATCAAGAAAATTATTATTAATCCTGGCAAGTTTTTTACTCGGAGGATTGATAATTTTCTTGATATTTTATATTATATTTTACGATTGATAATTCCACAACTGATTAATTAATTAAATTATTAATTAATTAATTTGATTATTAATTAATTAATCTAGAATTATTTGAAATTAATAAAAAATTGAAATAGTTAAATATGAAGTGTTTTTTTGGTTTTTTGAGTAAATTGTTCCATTTTCTTTGGTGTATATAATTTTGAAGAATTTAAATTTCATTTACAGGAGGACCAGGAGCACTCCTTGTTCTCCTTCCATTTGGGATCTTCATTAACGTAAATTTCCTTCTTCCAGATGGGAACCGAGGCCTTTAGCATATCAATTGTGAGCTGTACAGCTTGGAGGGATTCCTTTCTATGTGGCGATGATATTGCAATGACGACACTTGCTTCGGACACTGGAACTTCGCCCAAACGATGGAAAATCGCAATTTTATCGACGTCCCACTGAGAACGGACCTTTGCACAAATATTCTTCATTTCCTTCAATGCCATTGGTTCGTACGCCTCGTATTTTAATTGCAAAACCTGAAATCATTTCTTTCGGTTAAATTTTTTCTATAGAAAGAAAATTAATTTTTATTTTTCAAAATTACGAATTTCAAAAATTCAAAACTCGTAATTTCGAGAAATATTTTTCCTTATCTTGAACGAATATTACGAAATTACGAATTTTGATTTTTCAAAATTCGTTGAAGGAAAAATATTTCTCGAACATTGAAAACTAGGGAAAATATTATCAATTTTCGTATTTTATGAATTACTTGTTTGTTTTCGAAATTATCTCGAGTCGTGCCGATAAAAGTAGAAATTGCCCCACATTTTGGTGAAGTCACCAAATCCACAATTTCCCCTAAATTCAATTTCTCCTGCTGAAGTTTTACCACGTCCTTTGACTCGTTCATTTTTTATCCTGAAATTTGGAAAAGCAATTTGAATTACAAATTTTTAACTTATTATATTATTTAACAATTGTTTATAGTTTTAAATGTAGTTTCAAATTTTTCTAAAATTTGTATTTTTTTATTCGCTTTGGGGAATTTTTTGAATATTTCCTCCGATAAAATATTAAAAAAAAAGGAAAGTTTTTAGTTTAAAAAATTCTATAGTAGGTACAATTTAGGAAATTTAAATTATTATTTCCGATCAAATATACAAATAAGGAAAATATAAAGGTTAAGAGTCATTAGTAAATTAAAACTATTTTCCGACGAATTACAAAATAGTAAACTTTTTAATACAAAAAGGAAACTTTTGAGGTTAAGAATCTTTAAAAATTTAAACTATATATATTTTTTACGATAAAAAATACAAAAAAAGAAAATTTTGAGGTTAAGAATCAATAAAATTGGTTTCATTTCTTTATCATCCGGACAAACCGGAGTAAAAATTACTTAATTGCAATAGTAATTATTATTATTAGTTTTTTAGTATTAGTATTAATATTATTAGTTTTTTTAGTATTAATCAGGTATTAATATTAATATTATTAGTTTTTTAGTTTTAGAATTAGCATTAGTATCAGAATTAAAAACAAGTTATAAAAAGAGAGGAAAAAAAAGCTTAGATTTCAAATTATTAAAAGATAAATAAACCTCCACTTAATGGTGGAATAACAGCAATTTCGTCTTTTTCCACTAAATGAAATGTCACGTCTTCAGTGACAAAATTTTCGTTTAATGCCAAAATAAGATTTTCCCGTATACTTTCCAAATGAAATTCACTGACAATTGTTTTCTTTAAATTTGCATAAGTTATTTCTCTAATTGTCGTTAAATTACACTCCTTAACACCGGATAATTCACGTGCTTTTGCAAAAAAGAGAATTTTTACTGTTACACAGTCCATTATTTATTGCAATAAATAAAAAGTTCTCGTGATAAATATAATACGTGAGAAACATCATTGCGCATGAAACGATTGATAAAACATTTATATCTTATTTACACTGGTTTTTAGAGAGTAAAATATGGTTCACTTGTGTTGCTTGTGTTACATAATAATGATAATAATATTCAAGGGGTCATTTATAGATATATGTACTACTGTTGAATTGTCAACTATACGGCATGTAGATTTTTTTTTCTCTTGTCCTTATTTGTTATTGATTTTGATTTGTTTACGTCAATTTGAGGTTATGTTCAGTGTCAAAATGAGGCGCCGGCGCAGTTGTAAGGGGTGACAGTTGTACCAACCACGAAAAGTGAAATAAGCGGGGATTTTTAAATTCTCTTTACTGTATTTTATTATTTATTTATTATTATTATTATTAATTATTAAATATTGAATATTATTAAAAATTAAATTATTTTTCCTATAATAAATTGTCTACGTGAATTAATTTACTAAAATAATTTAAATTCGGTTCTGATATTAAAATAAAATTACTGTTTATTATAATGTGGAATGTAATCAAAATCGAACTTATCAGTGATTTAATTAAAACTTATTATTTTAGCTTGTTTGATTTCATCCGAATATTCGCTATTTACCGAAGAAAATTTAATTAAAAACTTTTCGCTCTATTATCTCTCTTATCAAAAATTGAAAATAATATTATTTTCTATTTTCTAATTTAGAATTAATTTCCTTTCTTAAAAAAAAATAAATGATGATAAAAATGTTTCGTCAATTATAAAGCGAGAGGAAAAATAATTTTCCAGATTTTAATTAAAAATGAAACAAAAATTAATATTAATTTCATTTTTTTTTTTTTTTTTTTTTTGATAAATTCAGTAAAGAGAGTGGAATGCAATTAGTAATGAAATGGAGTTGTTTTTGACGTCATACACGTGCAAAGGGAGGCAATGTTGGGTCGCTATCGATTTTTCTCTCCCATTGCAGTTCCTCTCTCTCTCTCTCTCTCTCTCTCTCTCTCTCTCTCTCTCTCTCTCTCTCTCTCTCTCTCTTGCGGAATGAGAGAAAAAATAAATTGAAAGGATAAAAGAGAGAAAATAGAGAAGAAAGTTTTTATGATTTTAATTTTGCGAATTAAATGCGGGAGTAGAAAAAAAGGAATGAAATTTGGGAGAAGATTTTGAAAATATTTTTTAGACTTTGATTTGACTCGGTTGGTAATGACGAAACACCTGTTACCCGGCGCTTCATTTGAAGTGCGCACGTATTTTCTGTGTGTGATACTAATGAGGTCAAATGGAAAATGAGGTCAGGGAGGAAAGGAAGCGCATATGCTATTTCAATGCCCGCGAGTATTAGAGTATTATATGCAAGTGATATCATATGATTCCGCGATTGATTTGCCAATTTTTTATTTTTTTACTAACCTATATATTTATACGCATATATAGTGAATTTACAATTTTTTTTTAAACAAATACACTTTTTACCCCCCCCCCCCAACCCCTATTTTAAAAGGCCATGGATAATAGTTGATTTTCGACTTTCTCCTACAATTTATGAAAAAAGGCGACTTTTTCAACTAATTTTACTAAAATGGAACTTTTTTTCGACTTTTTCGACTGTATTTGAAAAATTCGACTTTATTCGACTAATTTTACTAAACTGAGATTTTTACGCCTTTTCCCCGTCTATTTTCGATAATTTTACTGAAATGCGACTTTTTCTATTTTCAAAGACTATTTTCAAAATAATTACAACTTTTTTTCGACTAATTTTACTAAAATTCGACTTCTCCGCCTTTTTCGACTTTTTCCAACTATTTTCAAAATAAATGCGATTTTTATGACTTATTTTAATAAAATGCGACTTTTTCGTCTTTTTTTTTGACTTTTTTCAACTGTTTTCAAAATTAATTCGACTTTTCCACCTATTTTCCGTTTATTTCCGACTATTTTCCAAAAAGCGACTTTTTTCGATTTTATAAGATTATTTCTCTTTTCGACTTTTTCCAACTATTTTCAAAATAAATGCGATTTTTTTTACTTTTTTCGATTATATAAAAATAAATTAGACTTTTTTCGACTAATTTTATTTAAATTCGACTTTTTCGATTTTTTTTTTACTTTTTACAACTTTTTTTTGACCTTTTTCGATAATTTTACTGAAATGCGACTTTTTCTATTTTCTAAGACTATTTTCAAAATAATTACAACTTTTTTTTCGACTAATTTTACTAAAATTCGACTTCTCCGCCTTTTTCGACTTTTTCCAACTATTTTCAAAATAAATGCGATTTTTATGACTTATTTTAATAAAATGCGACTTTTTCGTCTTTTTTTTTGACTTTTTTCAACTGTTTTCAAAATTAACGTGACTTTTTTGGAATAATTTTACTAAAAATTGACTTTCTCGCCTTTTTTCGACTTTTTCTAACTATTTTTAAAATAATTGCGATTTTTTAAGACTATTACTTTTTTGTCTTGTTTTTGACTTTCTTCGATTATATTATTTTTAAAAAAGACGACTTTTTCGACTAATTTCACTTAAATACGACGTTTTAGCCTTTTTTCGACTTTTTTCAATTATTTTCAAAATAAATGCGACTGTTTTAGACTAATTTTTACTGAAATATGTGAATTTAAAATTTTTTTTCGAGTAATTTTACTTAATTTCGACCTTTTTGTCTTTTTTCGACTTTTTACAACTATTTTCAAAATAAATGCAATTTTTTTTTACTAATTTTACCGAAATATGTAATTTTTTTTACTTTTTTTGACTAATTTTACTAAAATGCAAATTTTTCGCCTTCCTTTTGTCCATTTGCGATTATTTTCCAAAAAATGCGACTTTTTCAACTTTTTTTCTATTTTTTAAAACTATTTTGAAAAATTACGACTTTTTTTGACTGATTTTACTAAAATGCGACTTTTTTAGACTATATTAAAACAATTTCGTTTTCTTCGACTAATTTAAAAAAAAAAATAAATTAAATTTGAAAATTTCCTAAAAATTCTTTTCGAAAATTCAATTATTTTCAAAGTTTTTTTATTGAATTCGAATTAATAGGGTATTTTTCAATTAAATATTGAAATATTATATAAATTATATTAAATTGAAAAAATTGTAGGGATATAATTGAAAAATTGAAAATTGTAATTAAAAATTGAATTTAAAAATTAAATTTAAAAATTAAATTGCAAAAATTAAATTGCAAAAATTATTTAAAAAATTATTATTTAAAAAATTATTATTCAAACAAAACTAACTGAATTTTGGATAAGTTCCGGTAAAAATTTTCGAAAATTTCACTTCATGTGGAATATTTATCATTATTTTAAGATTACATTGAATTTTTCAATAATTAAATAATTTATAGAAAACAAAAAATTCTTTTCTTAAAAAAATTCGAAATTTAATCTTAAATTTTTTCTAGTTCATATAAGGGGAGATTTAAGGGCGAAAAGAATAACTAATTCAAAAAGTAAATTGCAATATGAGAGATGAAAGTAAAATCAATACACGATATATAGCTTTGAAAAATGTGCTCTATTGATTTTTCTTTCCCCATTTCAGAACTTGTTTTCTATATGGAAAATTTTTTTCCATGTTAAATGAAGAAATAATAACGATTTTTATTTTCATTCATATATATATAACAGAAATATAACGAAAAATTTTAATTAATATTAATAATTGCTTTTTCCTTCGTTATTTCAAATGTGAATAAAAGAATACATTTTTTTTTTATTTTAAAACTTAAAATGTAAATATTAATAAATATTTTTCATATATAATTTATTATTATTTTTTTATATTATTAGATACTAAAATCACAACTAATTACAATTTTTTTTATTATTATTGCTGTTATTTTCTTTCTCACTCTTATAATAACTTTCTTTGTAAGTTAATTTTCCGACTTCAATTCCATCTTTCTCGTCTAGCTTATTAATCGAGTAATAACTTCCAACTTTTGTGATTCAATAAAAATTACAAATTTTTCTTCTAATTCGAAAGTATTTTTTTAGTAAATTTTTCAGTGTAATTTGTTTTTATTATTATTTTATTATTTTTACTATTATTATATTTTTATTATTATTATTATTATTATTATTATTATTTTATTATTTTTACTATTATTATTATATTTTTATTATTATATTATTATTATTATTATTATTATTATTATTATTATTATTATTATTATTATTATTATTATTTAGTATTTATATATTTAATAATCACAAGTGGTCCAAAAAAAGAAAAAAAAATTATTATTAATATTATAAATATTATTTTTACTATTATTATTATTATAATTATAAGATTTATTTTTATTATTGATATTGTTTTTTTAATATTTATTTGTCTTAATTGCCTTTTTCAATCGTGAGTGTATTAAATATAAATGTGTGTCGATGGAACACTTTGTTATTCTCTCAAATACTATTTAAATATTGAATACCATGAATTATTGATGATATAGAATAAAGATGAAAGCGTCAAAAGACATCAGAACAAGCGTCGTGTCGATACATAATATAAACTTTAGGAAACAACACTTTTTCCTCATCTCTCTTGCCGTGTGTGGACTATACTTAAATACATATTTATGAGAAACCAAGAATTTATTTATTATTAATATTATTTATCTTTTTTAAATTATATTTAATAAATAAATAAATAAAATTAATTATTTACTTCTTTAATATTAAAAGAAATAGAATTTTAATAATTTATTTACAAACTTTTTTTTCTTCCACACAAACTTTATATAAACAATTCAATTAATATGAACATGTGTATATAAAGTTACACGCATGCAGGTGTGAAAAAAAGTTTGTAAGTAATAAAAGCAGGAAAGTAAATTTAATATGTACATGAAACTCATTTATGATAAAACCAGAGCATATGCAAATTGAAATAAATGAATTTAGAACGTACTTGTAGTGGAAAAAGGAACTATTTTTCAATTATCGATAATATTGGCATGGCGTAGAGTTTAAAAATTATTGATAGTTACAGATTTTATCAACACTTCTCGAATAGTATTAATAGTATTAATAGTATTAATAGTATTAATAACATAATTTATATTATATATTATCAAAAGGAAGAAACTACTTTACCGACAAACAAAAATTCCGTCAATTGTCGATAAATGCCGATAGTAGAAAACTGTAAATTAAATTTCCCTTTTCTCCTCTCGTGAACAGGAAGTATTTCTATTGTTGCCTTTTTCAACGGACATAATAATATATTTATGAAACTGTGAATACCGTTAAA